AAAAAAAAAAAAAAAGTTAATGCTCATAGGTAAACATAATTATAGAAATGTTTCCCATAATATTCACTGCACACTAAACAAATATTTTATTCACATAAGTGAATGTTTATGTTTATATATCCACATATACAACTAAAGTGCTTCTATACTTAATAAATGACAATCTTCTCCTGGAATGTAATCCTCTCTGAGGTTAGGAAGAATTAAAGACAGGATTAAAATATGCAAAATTCTTTTATTTCTAATGCAGCAAAACCATAGAAAACAGTCTGACTTTTACAGTCTTGACTGAGATCAAAGAAACTGTGGGGAAAATTAAAAGTTCAGGATATTAGTAATTTATCCGACAAGTTTTGTGTATGAATGGATTTTCTGCACACTTTGAAAGGAAAAATGTGTGTCTCATTTTTATTAACAGACAATAAAATTAATGTACATTTGTAAGCATCAATTTTTTGCCTGTATTAGATCATATTTATGTTATGAAACTTGTACAATCACAAAATGCTATTATTTAAAATAAGATTTTACTCAAGTTAAATATATATTTTACAAATTTAATAAAGAATCTCAAATGTTTACATTAAATGCCACCAGTCTTTAAAAATCAAATCGTATCAGCCTGTTCTTCCCTCCCACAAACAATTAGGAATCAAACAATTAAATTAGGCTACAACATAGTATTATGAATTAAATATGGCCAATGAATAATTGAATATTTGACACCACTTTGGGTACACTAGACAGTACTGCATGACTGCACTTTTACAGTTAATTTAGCAATGAATAAGCAGCTGCTCACTAAGTCGTATGGCCCTGTGCTATGTGCAGTAGGGCCTTGAATAAGAATAAGAAATACACTGTCCTCAAGCTGTCTCTGCCTGAGTGGAAGAAATAGAGCAGGCATATAAACAAATATCATATTGATGGTCTAAAAAAGTGGTATGGAAGTTCAGAGAAATTCCCCAGTGGAGTTTTTGGTGAAGCTTTCCAAAGGATGTCTTACTGAGCTTTTTTTCCTTAAAGGATATGTTTTACATGCACAGATGAGCAAGGGAGGGCATTTCTGACAGAGAATAACATGTGCCAACATTTCTCAACTAAGCTGGATTAAAACACTATTTCCAGGAGATGTTAACAGGTATTCTGAGATAAAGGGCGCTGTCCTCAAATGTCTGGGAAAGCCATATGAAAAAGAGGTAGACAAGTTTCCTCAATGTAAAAACATCTTGGACCCTTTAATATGCTAATGAGTATTATGAATCTCCAAGAGGAGAATTTCATGTGTACCCAATTTATTGGACTACAGAATGCTTTCCTTATGAAAAACCTATTAGCATCTCTGTAACTAACACCCGGGAAATGCTGGCAAAAGGAAAAGTGCGGAGACAGTAAGTTCCGAATGCGAAGGGAGGAAAGGTGACTTAGCTGTAACAGAGACTGTAGTTAGGGGAGCAATCGTAGCCTAGGCTGCAAAGGGGAGATAAGGGAGCCCATGCCAGAAGGCCTTAAAATTCCTGGTAAGGAGATTTTATTTAATCCTGACTGCAACAGGCAGCCATCGAACATATTAAAGCCTAGAGTGACAATAATCAGGGCAGTGTTTTAGGAAGATTAATTTGCCACTGACATAAAGGATGAATCTGAGGAGGAAGAGATGATAGGCGAGAGAAAAGTTTTGAAAACAATGGTAATAGTCCAGGGAAGATGTAATGAGAGAGTGATCCTAGGGGGTTCTGGGTTTTGATGCAAGGTTGGGGAGGGTAAGTCAGAGAAAGAACAGACATAAAACAGTGACTAGACTAGCTTAATTTGTCCAGGAGGTGAGGCAGGGAAAAGGGAAAGAAAACTCCAGCTTCACTATCTTAAAAAACGGTAGTAAAATTTAAACAAGAATGGACACCAAGCTGGGTTTGATTTCAACATGCAGCAGGAACTTCCTATGGGGCTAGCTGGACACAGAAGACAAACCCAAGAGAATTGACACCTACTAAAAGGTGGTATTTGAATGTATGATACTGAACGGGATATTAGACCAAGGATATACAGTGAAAATAAAAGAGCAGAGGACAGAACGTTATAGAACATTACCATTTTGGGGAAGAAAAAATAAAGAGAAACTGAGTTCTCAAACACGTAGAAAAAGAAGTTAGATGAGTGAGAGAGAGAGAGAGAGATTGATTTAGTGAAAGAAGAAGATCAAGGCAGGCTAAGGGTAGGAAAAAGCCACCACACTGGGTACTGTGGAGTTTACTGGTGACTTTTAAAGTAGTTTTTCAATAGACTGATGGAAACAGACCCAGTCAATCAACAAACATCTACTGAGCACCCACTATGTTAAGATGTCATCTTCAATTTCTTTCTTTCTTTCTTCTTTCTCTCTCTCTCTCTTTTTCTCTTTCTTTTTTAAGACAGAGTCTCACTCT